GGGAGAAGTTAAGAGGGAGGGGAATTACACTAAGGAAAGGTTCAAGTTCAACTGTGTAGCATCTTTGGAGGAAGCTCACTCCTTCCTGTCTAAATACAATGATTGAGGTTGTTCAGGAACAGAGGTCCTATCCCAGGCCAAATTCATTAGGGACATTTTAATATTGTATTCTTTACAATTTAAGTTGTAGAAAACTAATAAATGGTTTTATTTTCAAAACAGAAATATATGTCTGCTCTGGATTTTAATTAATATTTAACAACATATTTCCTAAGATGAGTCCTTTAGGAACCAGTTTCCAGAGAGCCAGGCTTTTGCACAATCCTGTCCTAATCACCACTGTGGAGACAGTGTTATCAACCTTTGACCCACCTTTTTACTTAACAGAATTCTGGTAATCTGAGCCTGTGAAGAAAAACCACAGAGTGACCAGAGAGATAGGGGGTCATCTTTTACATCAACTATTACATAAATAGAATAAAGTCTCATCTCTTTGATATTTGCAAATACAAATAGTTTTTCCAGGGAAGCTCTTCAGTTTCCAAAAATATTAGTCTGTACCACAACTTAACTATACTCTCCTGTTAGAGCTATCTTTTTACCTGTACTATACTCCAAGATGCAGAACCAAAAGTATTAAGTTGGTAAACTCAATTATTTTTACATGCTGGGAGCTCATAAATCAAGTTCCCAGCTAGGCTGTGAACATTTCATAAGAGACTGTTATTTCCCTGAAGGACAGGGCAAAAACTGGGGGATAAGCCAACAGTGAAGAAGGTTCAAGTGACAACAGTCTTAAAAACAAGAGCAAAAGGGGACAAAAAGAGTGAATTCTGTTAGCTAGTGTCCTCCCCTACTTGATGAGACACCTGCTTTAGGAAAGAAAAGGTTATAAACTTTTATTTCTTTCTAGGGAGATACTCAATGCTGCTGCTTAGAAAACATCAAAGCTGAACTATGCAGAAAAAATGTGTAAGAATGACAAGCTACGTGTTGAATTGGTGCAAGATATAAGGTGAAAGAAAGCTGGCAGCAGGTTCTCTGCAGGGAGTGACTCACCAACTGCTCTCTTTGTGGAAAGTGCCTCAATCCCTTTCATTCAAATGGGCTAAAGGGAGCTTTGAAAGAGACTAAAAGAAGGAATAATGTTTACCGTTCTACAGATTGAATGAAGGGAAACCATTTTACAGGCCTATAATTTTATAGAACTGTAGGAACTAAATTACAGTAAGCCATCCTTATAAATGTCAAATTTATACCACCAAGAGGGAAAAGCCACCAAGGTTCAATAGAA